TGTAAGGGATGAGAGGAGGGGTCCATCGATGAAGCCAAATTGTTTTACCTGTGGTAGTACTGGCCATCTGGCCAAACATTGCACAAAAAAGTCTAACTATACGACACCGGCCAAGAGGGTGATGAATTGTCAGATTACCCCCGGAATGCACAGCAAACAGCTCGGGTTGACTGAGGCCATGCGAGTAGAGAAATATTTTGAGAGGCCATATGTCAAGGTAAAAATTCAACCCGGTCCAGTGTGCGAGGCTTTGGTGGACAGCGGTGCTGAGGTATGTGGGATTTCACAGAAGTTATGCCAGGAGTTGAATCTACCCAGTTTGGGAACTGAAAGGATCAAGGGATGGAATGGACAGGTGGCTGAGGTGGATGCCACATGGGTAACGTTGACTCAGGGGGACAAGGCAGCTACCCCTGGCGTCCGGGTGTGGTGTGCCGTGGTGCCAAATGCTAGTGAACCACTAATTATTAATCCAGGAGTGGTAGAACAGTTAAAGTTGGTAACGCCTTATGTAGTACCTGCTGCAGGGGTGCTGTCTGCCAGTGGTTCATTGGTCAATTTAGGGACCTTTTACAATGTGGACGCCCCCCATGGGCAGTGTCACGAGAGATACAATAAAATTCAGAACCGTGACGTTGATGACGAGAAAGATGATGAAGCTTGTGAATTTAATAATTGTAAATTAGATGGCAGTGTAATAATAAATAAAATTCAGAACCGTGACGTTGATGACGAGAAAGATGATGAAGCTTGTGAATTTAATAATTGTAAATTAGATGGCAGTGTAATAATAAATAAAATTCAGAACCGTGACGTTGATGACGAGAAAGATGATGAAGTTTGTGAATTTAATAATTGTAAATTAGATGGCAGTGTAATAATAAATAAAATTCAGAACCGTGACGTTGATGACGAGAAAGATGATGAAGTTTGTGAATTTAATAATTGTAAATTAGATGGCAGTGTAATAATAAATAAAATTCAGAACCATGACGTTGATGACGAGAAAGATGATGAAGTTTGTGAATTTAATAATTGTAAATTAGATGGCAGTGTAATTACAGATAAAATTCAGAACCGTGACGTTGATGACGAGAAAGATGATGAAGTTTGTGAATTTAATAATTGTAAAATAGATGACAGTGTAGTTGTGGATGGAGTTCCTAATCGAGATGTTGATGAGGAGAAAGACGATGAAGGTAGTGAAAAGAGT